CATAATTTGAAGTTTTCCCAGGATCAGCACTTCTCTAAAATGGATTAATAAAGTTCTGACTCCCATGAGGGAACTGTACTTTTTACCACTCAGTTTAGCTGTTTAGTAATTAGTATTACTTTAGCATATAATAGGGGCTCTACAACTAAATATGTCATGAATGCTTTCACATTTTAAGTGTGTGGACTTGAATAAGTTAGGCTATCTAAAAATTCTCCTGATGCTTTTGAGTTTTTAGCCTAAAATGTAAATATTTCTTGGACCAAAAACTATAATGAAACTGTGGCAGAATAAAAGTTTAGAATCTAGAGACTTGGTTTATACATTGGGATGCTATTTATTTGCCAAATTGTTTTCAGATTTTTTGACCTAAGCATACTGTTGTATTGGCAACAGATCAAAAAAACAAACAAAAAACAAAAAAAATGGTTGTTTCTTTTTGTTAATCCCCCCCAAATTAAATATAAATAAGAGTATAATATACCACCCAGAATTAACAAATATTGGTTAACAAAAAAATTAGCAAATTTATTATTTTATTGTTTGCTATAGGTTTTTTTTGGTAAAAGGAACCAAAATATTAGTGCTACAGGTGAGGTTTCCTTTGTTTTCCCTTATCTCATTTCTCTTCTTTCTCACCAAGGCAGCTACTACTATGAATTTACTGTCTATCTTTCTAGTTCATGTCTTTAGACATTTACTATAAATATTTATTTTTAAATAATAATTATAATAACCAACAAGAGTTGAATGCCCACTGTTTGCTAGGTACTGTTCATTTTATTCAATAACACTATGGTTGTTGTAAGAATTAAATGAGTTAATACATATAAAATGTTATAAGGTAGGTACTATTTTTATTTCCATTTTACAGATGATGAACTGGAGAAGTAGAGAGGTTTTAAAATGACCAGGCTCATATAGCTACAGGATATAGAGCAAGGATTTGAACCCAGATTGGCTCTAGAAGCTATACTTTCTAATCAATATGCTGTCTTGCCTCTCTATAACATATATTTTGTATGTTGTTTAAAATGCACTTTTTATACAAATGATCCAGTCAAAAAATGGGCAGAGGACCTGAACAGACTTTCCCCGAGAGGGCATACAAATGGCCAACAAATATATGAAAAGATACTCAACATCGCTAGCTATTAAGGAAATGCAAGTCAAAACCACAGTGAGATACCATCTCACACCTGTTAGAATAGCTGTTATCAACAGGACAAGCAATAACTAATGTTGGAGAGGATGTGGAGAAGTAGGAACCCCCTCATACACTGCTGGTGGCACTGCAAATTGGAACAGCCACTATGGAAGTTCCTCAAAAAACTAAGAATTGATCTACCATATGATCTAGCAATCCCTCTACTAGGTATTTACCCCAAAGACTTGAAAACTCATATCTATAAAGATATTTGCACACCAGTGTTTATAGCACCATTATTCACAGTGGCCAGGACATGGAAGCAACCAAAGTGCTCTATGATAGATGATTGGCTAAAGAAGCTGTGGTACATATATTACAATGGAATATTACTCAGCCATAACAAAAGATGAAATACTGCCATTTGGAACAACATGGATGGAACTCAAGATAATCACGCTAAGTGAAAGAAGCCAGACAGAAAAAGTTGAAAATCACATGATATCACTTCTATGTGGGATATAAACCTAAAAGCAACAAATGAACAGGACAAACAAACAGAGACTCATGGACATAGGCTATAGACTAGTGGTTACCAGATGACTATAGAGTAGTGGTTACTAGCGGAGTGGGGGAGGAGGAGGGATGTAAATGGGGTAAGGGGGTCAAATATAGGGGGATAAGGGGAGGGTGAAGTGGGTAAAGGGGATCAAATATATGGTAGCTGAAGGAAACTGAACTTTGGGTGGTGAACACAATACAATATACAGATGTCAAATGATAATGTACACCTGAAAATTATAAGATTGTATTAACCAATGTTACCTAATAAACTTTATTAAAATAATAATAATAATTGAATCTTCTAAAAAAAACTTAGAAAGATGAAAGGAAATAAAATATTAACAGTGAAAACAATAAAATATACTTTTTATTAAAATTGTATACAGTGGGGATGGTCCTGTAATTTTTGAATTTTAGTGATGTCACTAACTACAACTTGCTTTTCCCTACTCAATATGCTTTTGAAATACATTCACATTGCTAGATAGAGTTCATTCATTGTAAGTGCTGTATATTTCATTGAAAAATATGCTACAGTTTATTGCTCCTACTAACTTTAGGTTTTCTTTTTTTCCAAACTTTGTATTATGCACAATACTGAAATTAAATGAATAACCTTATTCAGGTCTCCTGTGTTTATGTGCAAGTTTCTGTGAGCATATATCTTTTTAGAAATACTTTCCTGCCTCTTGAAAAGTATTGTGAGCCAAGATACAAAGCTATTTGTTTTTCAAAATAAAAATATAAAAAAATTCAGTCTTTTTTGCTGTTGTGAAACTCGTAACTGACTCCACCCAAACCAGCTCAGTTGGAATTACCTCCTCTCACCTAGCTGAGAATGTAAAACCTGACCTGTTGAGCTGCAGAGAACAACTCTGTCTCCCAAGCCTTAGCACAGAGAACAGCAGCTAATTTCACAGAGGCCACAGGGCAGATGTTATTCTTGAGGGTTCTGTGGAGGTTAACAGTGTATTTCATTCAAAATGAAATATATCTAAAAAATAAAAAAGTCAGTAGATGGCAAGTTTATCAAATTGTTCAGTTAATTTAGCAGACAACTATGCTTTATATATTCAGTTTTAACTTCAATATTTTGTATTTTATTTTTCTAAAGTAAAGTTTCTTTTTCCTTTTTTTCTATCTGTCCAAGTTATAGTTAGCTTGGCCTTCCTCTGCACTCAAGTCCTGGTCTTTTCTACCCAGATGATTAGCTTAATTTCTTACAACGTAGTGAAAAAACACCAAACTATGTGGTAATGAAATGGGAAAAGCATGAGCTTTGGTGCTGGATGGACCTTGGTTCCAATTCTGGTTCTACCAGCTGTGTATCCTTAGGCAAGTTACTTAACTTCCTGAGCCTACATTTTTTTTTCTTTAAAATGAGGATCACATATACCTTGGTGGTATGTTTTGAGGATTAAATGAGAAAATACTTGCAAAATTCTGTTTCGTTTTTAAGCTATTAATATTCCCCTCCCCTGCTACAGAGATCTTCAACTCTTAGTATATGTAAGAATCACTGGGGAGCTTGGTAAAATTTTCAGGCCTCACTCCAAGAAATTCTAATTTCAGAGGTCAAGGTTGAGACCAAAGAATCTAGGTTTTAAACAAGCTCCTTGGGTAATTTTGAAGCAGATGATCAACAGGCACATTTTTAGAAATGCACTTGGTTTCTTGGTTTCTTGGTTCCAAGTCTAGCTTTGTTAGTAAAATAGCTTATAGCTATGGGCAAATCATTTCTACTTTCTGAGCTTTATGTTTCCTCAAATATAAAATGAATGACTAAAACTTTATAGTTTTATAATCCTAAATTTTTGATCTGGTAATCTGTTGCCATTTTTTGGCAGAGGTTCAGTAGTGGTACTGAATCTTTTGGGCGGGGAGGAGGGCGGGAACTCAGATTATTCTTCCTTCTGTGGCCTCTGTGAAATTAGCTTAAGCAAAAATAATTTCCTTTTGAAGATAAAGGGATATGTCATGGAACCTTAAGCTAGGATGTAGTTGGGCCTCAGGAATCCGGGACTAGAGCACATAGGGAAAAATCAAGTTCTCACTTTGTCTGTTACCCCCACCCCCACCCCCTTCAAACTGGCCCCAGTCTCTTGGCTTTTTTTGCCTTTCAGGCTACATGGTAGAAAATGGCCATGGCCAAACACTCCTGAGTTTACATGGCTTCTTTTTTTGAAAGCAGCCAGACTGAGGCTGGAATATCTTAATTCCAAATTGCTAAGAAAGTAACTGTGATTGGTGCATATTGAGTAGAGTGCCACTAACTTCTGGCTGTTGCTAGGGAGCCAAGGTCTTAATGTAAGGCTGGATAGGAGCCCTGTGGTTATTCTCCCCTTGTTGGAGGTGGTAAAGGTAGTCTGGGTTATGTATTCGCTACATTTATGAAAGCATTTCACTAATTGAAGAGTCCATTGTTGTATTTTGTATAAGACCCTTAAAATCGATTCTCATAGAAAAAAATAGAAGTAGGGAGAGACAGGCTATAAAAGAAAAAGTGGGCTTGTTTTTATTCTTAGTTATGTACCAGATAGAGTAGAGCCTTCTATAGTCACTTCTACTGAACTATGCTGTTTAATTAACAGTGAACTTTTAAGTTGCTTTTGCATATAGTTTTCTTCTTTCAAAATTATGTAATTCTATATTATCTTTGTAATTCTATATTATCTATAAAATCTTTGTCATATAAGTTGCTTTTGCATATAGTTTTCTTCTTTGTAAAATTATGTAATTCTATATTATCTATAAAATCTTTGTCATTTGTTTTATATATTTGGACTTAATTTTTCAAATGAAGAGAAAATTATGAGGCTATGAATGGCATTATTGGTAGGAACACAGGCTTTTGAATAAGTCTTGCATTTTAATTTTATCTCTGCTATTTAGTGACTGATTACTTGACTGCTCTGTGAAATGAACATAAGAACCATTATATCATGGATTATTTGAAAATCAAATGACATGACATGACGACATATTTTTGGCTTTTACATTATGTTTCCTAAGTAGTGGGTGCTCAATGAATTAGAGATGTTATCATTGTTATTTTGTTTTTAGAATGTAATTGATGATCTTCATTATATTCTACTCATTTATGTTAAAGACTGACTATATCTTGAGCTTTAAATACATCAGTATTTTTGGAAAGTAAAGGCTTAAAGTGTTTTTCATATCTGAAAATCAGAAACTAGAATGTGAAAGAAGAAATATTTTTACATTGATAGTTCATTAGTTTGTATTTATTAATGATTTTAATGAAGTATCTTTTTGATCTCTTGTTTAGTGTCAAACTGGAAGAGAAGTAAAACTCAACAGAAATTTATAATGTGTGGCGTTCCTTCTTAAGAGAAGAAAAAAGTGATTATTGTGACTATGGATCGAAGCAAACGGAATTCAATTGCAGGATTTCCTCCACGTGTGGAGCGTCTTGAAGATTTTGAAGGAGGTGGTGGAGGGGATGGGAACGTGACCCAGGTGGGAAGAGTTTGGCCATCTTCTTATCGAGCTCTTATAAGTGCCTTTTCCAGACTGACACGTTTAGATGACTTCACCTGTGAAAAAATAGGATCGGGCTTCTTCTCTGAAGTGTTCAAGGTGAGTGATACTTCAGCTTTTCTCATATTGTCTTATTCATGGTCAGCTTCACTGCAGAATTGATAGTTGTGTTTAATTAGGACATAGGCTTTGCTTAGTCAAGGTATTGTGGATCTCGAGCAGTTTTCTAACTGTCCCCTCAAGCTCTTTATTAACTTGTGAGGTATTTTATTATTTTAATTATAAAATAGTGCATATTGATCAAAAATCCTAATAATATTAGTCTCTTTCGTTTCCCCTTCCCGCATACATATATCTCCCCAAAAATAAGTATAATTAACAATTTGGTATGTGTACTCTGGACCCTTTTCTGTGCTTATGCATATATTATACACACATCTTATATACATATATAAAAACTTACATATACATCTAAAGAGATATACTTATATACACACATACACACATATGTACATACTCACACATATAGTTTTTGTTTGCTTAATTTTAATAAAATTCAGCCTTTAATGTTCCCAAGCAATCACATTTCCCTAGTTCATTTATTATCCCAGAAGATTATTTGAAGCCTTTTTTTCTCTAATCAAACTCTCAGGACTTCTCTAGTCCTCACTCTCAGTGAGGAGCTTGCTTCCTAATTCACTGAGAAGACTGAAGCAAGCTGAAGAGAACTTCCACAGCCTCCCATCACCCCATATGGCTACTAACCCACATCTCTACCCACTTCCTTGGACTTTATTCCTGTCACTATGGATGAACTATCCATGTTCCAATCTAAGTCATACTTCTATTTATATGGTATATCCTGTTTCCATTTGCCTATTCAGAGACATTACCTAAGAAATTCTCCCCTCTCTTTCCTACGTCATATTTCACTCTCTTAAATTATTTTCATCAGCATGTAAATATCGTTATTTTTCTCACATTAAAAAAATCTTTAAAGGGAGAAAATCTTATTTTGACCACATCATCTCTCTTTTGCTATACTCCTTCATGTCTTGTTCTCTTTTGGACCAAAACACCTCTATAGACTTATTTCCTCTCAACCATTTACTGTTCCTTTCCTTCTCTTTGATCCATCACTCTCCTCTTCTTCTTTCCCTCCTTCATTCTCTCCTTCCTTCCTTCTCTCTCTCTCTATAATGTGGTAAGATATATACCACAAATATACCATTTTAACCATATTTAAGTGCACTGTTCAGTGGTATTAAATACATTTACAATGTTATGCATTATCCATTTCTGGAACTTTTCATCATCCCAAACAGAAATTTATACCCATTAAACAATAACTCCCTATTCCCCTCTCCCCAGCCCCTGTTAACTCTGTTCTACTTTCTGTCTCCATGAATTTGCCTATTCTCAGTACTTCACATTAGTGGAATCATATAATATTTGTCCATTTGTGTCTGGTTTATTTCACTTATCAGAATATCCTAAAGTTTCACCCATGTTGTAACATGTATCAGAATCTCATTCCTTTTTATGACTGAATAATATCCCATTGTTTGTATATACCACATTTTGGTTATCTATTCATCTATTGATAGACATTTGGGTTATTTTCACCTTTCGGTTATTGTGAATAATGCTGCTGTGAACTTTGGTGTACAAGTATCTATCTGTGTCCCTGCTTTCAGTTCTTTTGGGTATTTAGTTATAAGAGGAATTATTGGGTCATATAGTGTTTCCTTTAAAAAAACTTAAAAAAAAAATTAAAAAAAAATTATGGTAAAATACACATAACAAAATTTACTATCTTAACCATTTTTAAGTGTACAGGTAAGTAGTGTTCAGTATATTCACATTGTGGTTTAACCAATCTCCAGAACTTTTTCATCTTGCAAAACTGAAACTGTATACCCATTAAACAACAACTCCCTCTTTTAAACTTCTACCTTCAGCTCCTGGCAACAACCATTATACTTTCTGTTTCTATGAGTTTGACTACTGGAGATGCTTTATTTTGATAATTTCAACTACCCAAAAATTACAAAATAATTTTTGCATGACAAAAAAAAAAACATTAAGAAAATTCAAAAGACAAAAACTCACTTGGGGAAAAAAAGTATGCTATTTCATGGACTAAGTGTTAATTTCCTAATATCAGTGCCTAGAAATCAATAGAAAAACCAATAACTCAATAGAAAGCTGAATGAAAACATTCCGAATGAGCAGAATATTTTTAGGAAAGGAAACATAAGTGATTGTTAAATATTTGAAAAGGCGCTCAACCTCCCAAATAATGAGCAATGCAAATTAAAATGCAACAAATACCATTTTAATCATCCTGTATCAATTGATAATATCATTATTGTTTGATAATGCCATTAGTTTGGTGAAGCAATGGGAAAATAGGCACACTCATATCTTAATGGTGGGAAAGTAAAGTGGTACAACTGCTGTAGTGGAGGGGAATGCAAATGGAAAATAGCTATCAAACTTATAAAGGGATATTCTCTTTGATTTAGCTAGAAATTCCACTATTGGGGATTATCCTCCAGATATACTTGCATGCTAAATAGCATGTTTATAAGATTACTTATTGTTTATAATGGCAGTCATTTGTAAACAGCCCAAATAGTCATAGAGGACTAATTAAATTATTAAGCATCCATGTAATGTAGTACTTTGTAAGTGTAAAAAGGATTGAGGAAGCTTTTAAGTTCTGATACAGAAAGATCTCCCAGATATGTTACAAAAGCAGGATTCATAGTATTGTGCATGATATGCTTCATTTTGTTAAAAGAGAGGGAGAAAAGCAAGAAACGGTATTTGATTCTGTAGTAATAAACTTTGAGAATACATAAGAAACTAAGAATAGTAGTTACTTATGGAGAGGGGTAGTGGGAACTGGGTAAAGTTTTTTAGAACTTTTTAGTGTGTATGTATGTATATAATTCATTTAATTGAACCTATATTAAAATTTATATAACTAATTAAATCAAAAGAGAAACGAAAATAAACTCTTAGACACAAGTCTATTTTTCTGAGCACTGTTATGTTCCACTGTTTAAATTTGTCTATTTCTCTGTCATACCATACTGATTGAAAATGTTCTCTTAAGTCCCATTGGGTGCTCTTAAATAGATCTTAAATGTGAATTTTAAAATCAGTTACATTTTATGAAAACTTCTCTGGGATTTCTATGGGGAATATATTGATTTCAGAATTAATCTGCAGAGAATTGATATCTTTAACATACTGAATTATGTTTTCTAGTAACATGATATGTTTCTCTATTTAGATCTTTTAAATCTGTGGTTAGTATCTTTTAGATACTGGCAATAGAGCTTTTTTCCATTAGAACCCTCCATTTTGTTCATGGCAGTAACCAGACCCAGGTGAGTTATTCTCTCAGCTTTGTTGTAGCTAGAGGTGGGTACATGAACACAGTTCTGGATATTTCAATCTAAATGGAATTCTGTTGAGACTGTGGGAAAGATTTTGCTTTTTGTGACAAAAGGGAAAGGTGGAACTGACTGATGATTCCTTTCTTTCCTGCCTTAGAACTGCAGTAGTCACCTGGTGATTATGAGGCTGATAGCATGAGGAAAAGTCTGAGAATTGTAGAGAAGCCAGCTCTGACATCTTGGAGTAGCTCAACTAATGCAACTGTCTATCTCTGTACTTTTCATTATGTGAAAAAAAAACAAACCCTATTTTTATTTACACATGGTCATCCAGATATTCTTACTTTCTCTTGAATATATTCCTAACTGATCAAGTGAGCTTCTGTCAAGTTATTTGATTTTATTAATACAGAGCTTAGACCTTTCTTGCTGTATTTAGTCCTAGATATTTCAAGTACTGTTGCTACTGTGAATGGATTCTTGTTTTCCATTACCTTATCTAATTGGTTATTAATGATTTGTACGAAAGCTATTAATTTATGTATGTTAGTTTTATATCTAGCCTCTTTGCCAAATTTTCATTTTTATTCTAATAGTTGGTTAATGGTTGGTTGGTTGGTCAGTTGATGTCCAAGAATTTGCTAAGTAGATAGTCATATCACTTGCAAAGAACAGTAGTTCTATGTCTTCCTTTTCTTTTTTTTTATTTTTTAGGCTAGGCAACCCTTGGTTGACCTCACAGATTGCAAGGACCTTGTCAACTTACAACCCTCCCTTTATTTTTCATACCTACAGCACCTGATCTTTCTAGGTAGTCTCCCATCCAAGTACTAACCAAGCCTGACCCTTCTTAGCTTCTGAGATCAGACGAGATCGGGCTTGTTCAGGGTTGACATGGCCATAGATTTTTCTTTTTTTTGATAACCTTTCTTTTTAGTGTGTGTCATTGCATTGATATCTAGTATGATGATTGAATAGAGGCAGGTAAGGATCGCAGGCAGCTTTAACATGTTTTGTCTGACTAGAATGTTTATTTTATATTTATTAATATGATGTTGGGGATATATACTTTTCCTTAAGCTGAGAAGGTTTCCTATTTCTAAATGAGGATTTTTGTTAGAAAAGATTATTGAAGGTTATCAAAACATTCTTGATATCTGTTAGGGTGATGAAATAATTTTCTCTTTTTATCTAAAAAAATGTGAATAGTAAATCTATTGTTTAACCATGCATTTCTGGGATAAATAATACTTGTTTATGATGAACACTTTTTCATACACTACTGGATTTGATTTGCTAATATTTTATTTAGAATTTATGTCTATGTTCATAAGTGAGATTGGCCTATAATTTTTCTTTTTTTGATACTCTGTTCAATTTTGGTATTAGAATTATGCTACCTTCATAGAAGGGGTTGAGAAGTCTTCCAGGTTTTTTCCTAATATTGTGGGTAGTTCACATTGCATAGGACTTTATGAAGGTTTAGTAGAACTTTCCTGTAAAATCATCTGATGGAGGTAAATTTTTTATTATTTTTTCAACTTTTTAGAAATTGGTTGTTAGTCTTTTCAGACTTTCATTCTCTTAAGTGATTTTATTTTATTTTCTTAGTATATAATTAATTTTTTCTAAATTTTCAGATTTATAGGCATAAATATTGTACATAATTGATGTGGCAAGGATTTCTAG